CTACGAAACGTCAATAAATAAATAAAGTTTGGTGCATTAACCCGTAAAAACTAGTTTTATTTATATACTGAAGTTATAAGAGTGGTAGCTCATAACAGGTAGGATGATGAAAAACTTTTTTTATTCGACTTCGACAGGTAGATAATCGAAAACTATTGGACACGTTATTTTCCTTTTTTCACATGATTAAAACATTACAGAGATGTATTGTGTTGAAATATCGCATGACGTCATCACTTGGTACAATTTTACTTAAAAGTTACGATACGCCTTATTGCCATTTTTAGTTGTGTGGCAATAGGAAAAATAAGTGACCATTATTTTTGAATAATCTGACAGACGGACTGAATAGATTTTCGTTTACCCCGTCAATCATAATCCTTATTGGATAGATTTTCAGCTTGAATTGGTGCGGCCGTGTGAGGAACGAGTAATCTCAGAAGGAGGCTTTCTACATCATAGAGGACTACATTGAAATACTTAACATAACCATTTGGCGGTTGTGTTGCTATTGATGATTAGAGAAGTACATCGGGGTAGGGTTTGCAGTCAGTGCAGGCAACGGCGGCAGATCCAACACCTCATTTTCCCTTTTAATTATAATAATGTTTTGTGCACGGAACACAGTACACAAAAATAAAGTGAACCTACTTTTATCATGAACGAAGACCAAATGAAAATAGCATTACCACAAAAATTGGGTCACGTACTTTGTAGTTGGCAATATACCTTCATAACTTAAATAGTTTGTTTTTTGTAGTAATTTATCTTCATTACATGATAATTCTGGTTATGGAATTGTGTATTTTAATATTATAATATAGAGTCTTTTACGACCATGTTGTGTAAGATAGCGTGACAATGCCGGTGTGGCAACTGCCCAGCGTCCGTCCGGTACTGCATCGAATGCGTGTGCCATCTCCACGTGTTGCTACACTACGCACTACAATAACTACACACGATTGTGTCAGCCTATAGTCTATTCACATTGGCGTGAGACTAAATGTAAACAAAGAATCTGAGGTTCTAAAGCTTTTATAATGTCAGAAAGTACCCACTAGTCAATGATTAGATATAATTAATGTAACATATAATGAAATTATAATGTAATCTGTCGTGTTGATAAATATAATAAAAGAATGTATATCTCAAATGAAACCAGCATAATACTTTAAAAGTAATATTTATTCACTGTTTGACCACTCACTGGATGAACTGCCACCAACTTTAATAATTCTGTCCACAACATGATCAACAATACCATCCAATTTAAGCATTTTCTGTTCGTCTTTTATGACATGGTCAATGCACCGTTTCACCGATTCAGCTGTTATAGATTGTCAGGCATCTGATAATGACAGATGATAATGACTTTTATTATTTTCGAACACATGCGTGATGGAAGCGAGTAGTACTTTACGGGTATTCAAAATCGTCTGTCTGACAACACTATTTTTGTAATTTTTCTATGTTTGTTATTATTTTTTGTCATCATTTGATTATCAACAATAAAACTCGTTTACTCATACGTTATTTTATAATTTGGCTCACTTAATTTAACGGTTTTTTACTGCTAATTAAAATAGGACTCGCGCACTTGATGTCGCCGACGTCCACATGTGAATACACAGTGGTAAGGCGGAAGCCTTAACACTGTGATACCCTTTTGTTGAGCCATTTCGTCTACACCATATGTCATATAAGCATCCTTAATTTGTTTAACTTGATACAGAAGCTCAACAGTTTCTTTCACTTTCACCAAAGGTTATGTTTTTATCCTGTAGCCATGCTTTCAACTCACACTTATTATTAAAAGACGTAGGTGTCTTTTCTTTCCTTCTTTAATGGTACGGTGCATTTACCATGACAACATCAGAGTTAGCATCTAATGGTTTTATTTTAACGTGTGCTAAGCGCCCGCACAACAGGAATACAGAAAGAGGTAAGAAGGGCCTTGTAGACGGGGCAAGCGCGCCACAGTTATGTGTGAGCAAATGCTTATAACTTGACCGAAACTAGGTTGCTATTGCGTCGTTTCTCTCGGGTGTGAGGGCTGATTGGTCCGATTGTTTGATGTCGCGTCGTTTGATGGGATATTATCTATTAGGTGGAAGTGTAGTGGGGGCGAGCCGGTGACATAGGTTCTCGTGCAAACGGTCTATGATCACCCTTCTAACCTCTTTCTGTGTTCTGTAGCCCGCACTCACTGCGCGACATGCGACTGAAGATCATCTTCTTTTTCTAGGTGTATAAGTCGCGGTGTACATACAGTGTCCTGTATAATAAACAGTGAACTTTAATTACACAGGTAAGTTCAATATATCATCAATAATATTGCTGAAGTGCTCGATGGCGTAGTAGGTTAACTTTAATAGCTAAGTTACACCAATAAAATAAGTTAAATAATAAATTACAATAACAATAAATTCACACTATAAAATCTAAACCATAGGGATTTGAGTCTTGTATACGCGCTAACACCTGGGTGACGTTTAGGGTTCATGTTATTTTATGTTAATATTTCGAAATTATACAGTACTTATTGGTGGTATGTGATCCCAGTGTCCTTCATGTAGAGAAAGATCCTAGGTCCTTCAGAGATTCCTTATTTTCTCGTGGACAAAACACGGATTATCGAATAGTAATAGTGTGTACATTGAAGTGTGTATAATGAATATACATACTCGCTAACTAGTGCTGTGGGCCGATTCTCACTGAATTGGCCCGCTAAAGAAATTATTCCTATTGAAGCGGTGGAATGATTACATAATTTGAATACAATAACGGTTGACTTTTGGGGGTAACGCAAAGAAAATAACTTTGAAGTTTATATAAAATTAAGGTAATGTGAAATCATAAAGTAGAACGGTTTCTTATTTAAGTATTTATTGGGTTGGCATACCCAATATATATGTTATGGGCCAAGTGATTAATGCGGGCAGTATTCATAATGCCCAGGCAGTATGAATAATGCCCAGCCATATCGGGCCAAGTGATTAATTATAGTCTAAACTCACCTATTTATCACATTGCTCGGTCATTATTAATAATGCCATTATATGGACCACGATTATTTACTTAGCCCATAACATATATACGTTAAGCCATTGGTCCCGGCTGCATCTGCATTCGTTAGCACCCATCAATCCGCACTGGGCCCGCGTGGTGGGTCATGGCCCAATCTCTCTATTCATCAATTTATTTCGGTTTCGGTTGTAAAACTTTAATTGAATTGACATTTTAAGATAACTAGTTCGCCGGGTCAGTAAGATATTAATAAAATGGTATACTTTTTGATCATAGTCTGAGTCCCAGATGTCACTTATCTGTGTATCCATTAGAAAGGTAGTTTTCGTTGTTGTTCCCTAGGAATTATATACCTGCCAATGCTAATCACTTACAGTGAAACTAGTTATTTAACTTACAAACAAAAATATAAGAAATCATTTACTATAGTATACCTACATAGTCAAAATTGTTAAAACAGCAACGGAAAGAAACAAAAGCTAAAAAAAATATGGTACCTAATTACTTACGAATAATAAAATATAACTAATACAAAATATACATTAATATATATTTATACACTTACGGATGTTAATTAGAAATGAATAAGATACAAAATATATAATAGAATATAAAAAGTCTCTGTGTATGTCAGAGGTAACAACTTGTTTTAAAAAAAAAACAGTGAAACTAGTGGGTCAGATGGTATTAAACGCTGCCGTTAATTCGGAAAACAAAATATTTTTGGAACTAAATCAAGCTTAAACCTCCTTTTTATTATAAAGAAAATATAACTAGAAAAAATTCCACGCGGACCAAGCAGCAGACGGGACTCGAACCCGCACCCTTCGCTACCCGGGCGAATGCACTGACCAATTATGCTACCGCGGCCCTGGTAGCCGCGTCGAAATTCTTCTAGCCATTCCTAAGCTGCAAGGCAGCGCCATCTCTTCGCATTATAGGTAACCCACAATGTCAAATGAATACTTTTACAACTAAAGTTTGTTTATGTTTTGAATACACGATTTTGGTACAGAACCATTGAGTCTTTAGTGTCAGTTACTAACCGGACTCAGTTTGACTTAAAATACGGCAAATTGTTCATTAAATGTAAGTTAAAAGAATAAATTATCATTAAATAAAGCAGCCAAATTGAATAGCTGCTCGTTTGGGTGATACGTGAAAATTGTTGGTTAATAGGTTAGATTAGAAATGAAACATTCATTGGAAAACAAATCTCAATACTATATCGGTAAGTTGGTGACTGGTGTATCGGCAAATATTACTACGTACTATATTATTAGTCCAGGCAACGAAAAGGTATAGAGGGAAATGCTTAGAACACAATTTTTGACTTCATAACTTTGTTAGGACTAGTTAGGAGTTAAACATATCAAAAGTCCCCGCCCGTGGCCCTTAAGCCGGGGGGAAGGGGGGGGGTTGAAGGTCCCATTTTTAGGTTTTTCGCATATATCTATAGAGATAAAATGATCTGATAGAGCAAAAATATGAAGCAATTTTTTTTCCATAATTACAGACTTTCAAGAGCGGATATCTCGAAAACTATACAAGATATCAAAAAACTTGATTGAATAAGACTTGTAGCAAATTTAATCAGCTTTCACTTTTGTCGAAGTCTCATGTCGCTAGGATTCATAGTTTCCGAGATATATGCGAAAAACCTAAAAATGGGACCTTCAATCACCCCCTTCCCCCCCGGCTTAAGGGCTACGGGCGGGGACTTTTGATATGTTTACCTCCTAACTAGTCCTAACAAAGTTACGAAGTCAAAAATTGTGTTCCAAGCATTTCCCTCTATACCTGTTTTTGAGCATTCGTTGCCTGGACTATATAGCTATTAACGAGATTGTTACCATGTACCTTGTTTTTTATGAGTCTTCGATATTATTATAGTTGTAGTAGATTATATTATAGTTATAATGTTAGTGACCATGAAAGTTTAAAACAATTACTAGGTACTTTTAGAAAATACACAACTACACACGAATACACGACACAGGAGAATCAGGATCTTCGAAATCATATCAGGAATATCTAAATTTTTATCCAGCCTACCCCCTTGGCCACAGATATTATTTTTAACTTCTTAGTATTACTACTTTCTAAATTAAAAAAGCAGTGTAGCTTCATTAAAATAAATCCTTTACAATAAAAATTTGGAAGAAAAGAAAAAGAAAACCGATTTTTTGTTACAGATGGCATTCAGACATGGAATCTTTCCGAAACCATTGCAGCAATATCCGCCATATTGGCACTTTATCTACTAACAGTTTTAAAAATTTTGCCGCAATATATGAAGACTAGAGAACCATATAAGTTTAAAGATTTTCTTCTGTTTTACAATGCTTTTCAAGTCGCCTCTTCTATTTACATCGTTTTTATGGTAAGTATGTAACATTGGTCGTATTCATTTTGCAGGAGCTTTGTTCACTTTTTTGACGACCTCCGAGCCGAGGCCGAGTGGTTTGTACGCCGCGTTTCATGGTGTCGCCGACTCCAGAGGTCCCGGGTTCGAATCCTGGTGGGGTTACATGTTTGTGTGATGAATACGAGCATTTTCACTCCAGTCATGGATGTTTAATATGTATTTCTATATAAATATACTTATTTAAGTACAGTATTGTATTCTATCCGTTACCCTAGCATCCCAGACAACAGGCCTTACAGTGCTTACTTTGGGGCTAGGCTAATTGGTGTGTGTTCTAAAAAACTTTTGGGTATTTATAAGTGTCTTCTCACATTCCCAATATTATGTTTAAAATTTATACTAATTTTATTAAGAGAGATTTGATTGTTTGTTTGAATTGAATAGGCTCTGAAACTACTGGACCGATTTGAAAAATTCTTTCACATTTAGGATCTTACTTTATTCCTTACAAACGTATGCTATAGAGTATTTTCAAAAAAGTTAGGGTTCCGTATGAAAACTACGATAGTGTAACCCAATGTGTGAAAAAAATACCAAACAATAAACTAATATCACCCTACGCTGCGGAAGTCATTGACAATAAAGAAAGCAAAGTAATGTAATAAATAAAGTCTTATAGAGAACATCAATTTCTACAAAAATTTCGCGATACCGTGTCTAACCAGTGTTGCTAGGTCCCATTTCAAAAAATCGGGAGACGTTCTAGAAAAGAACAGTAGATGTATGGGAAAGACCTACAAGAAAAACAGGCGTATGCAGAGGCGTACTTTTTCCGATTTGCACCCCCCTCCCCCCCCCCCCCCTCTGTAATTGGTTAATAAAATCAAGATAAAGACCCGTAACGAATATGTTTCTGTGGCTTTTTATACAATTACATTTATTTTAAAATTAATAAGGTTACCTACATTGTTAATGGCCGAAAATGCATCTCAACATGCAATTTAAAAAATAAAATCGTATTCTAAGAAAAACAGGTGATTCATGGATTCATGTAGAAAAACAGTAGAACAGGAGAAATTTCAGAAAAAAAGCATCTGCTTTTTTTCTGAATCAGGAGATCATCAGGAGATCTTCCTGTAAAATCTGGAGACCTGGCAACACTGTGTCTGACTGTTCCATTTATGTCACAACTAGAGGTCCACTGCGGTTTCAACCGCGTTGATTTAAGGAAAAAGTGAGTGAGTCTAACTACATACTACGTTGTCGCGAACGTTTTTTATAGAACTTTTAAAATGGAACTACTTCGTGATACATGATTTTTGTGTGACTTTAACCCAGCGCACGCTAATGAAGCTCACAAATTAAGTATTTTACCCATTTTTACAACATTTATCATTGATGCTCCGATCCTACGGCTAATCCTATCGCGTTCAAAAAAAACTCTAGCTTATGTATATTTTATTTTCACGGTAACGTTTTAATTAAGAAAGTCATTGTGTATAATACAAGCTTGAGAACAAAAGCTATAGTGTACACTACAGCTCTACAGCAAAGCGAAGCGTGGACGGGCCACTAGTATGAAATAAATAAAATAAAAAGATTTTAGTTAAAAACTTTTCATTTATTTTGTTTTGAAATGTGTCAAGTTGCCTGCTCTATTTACATCGTTTGTATCAAAGTATTGTAAGTATGCAATATTGCTCGTAATAATATTGTAGGAGCTTATTTAAAATTTTCACGCAATATTATTGATATTACCTCACCACTAGTGAAAACCAGTACGAGTATTTCAGCTGGTGATCTTCTGGTATACTTGACGCTTTGTTGAGCTAAAGCGCTAGCCACCTGCGCCATCGAACTCCTCAAAAAAACAATTAGGTATCCCAAATGTAGTTTGGGATAGGTAATTGTTTTGAATTTTTTTTGTTGAAACGTTTTCATTTGCAAAAATATAAAAGAAAATATTGAAATGACTACTTGTCACTAAATTAAACAGTTAATGTCTAGTTCTGAAGTTTCTATATATATATCTGTAACCTGTTTTAAATAAAATGGCTACTTACGAGTACTTGGTTGTTAACAGAAAAAATAGAAATAAAAACCATATTTTATGTATTCTTCCTCCTAAAAATCTTTTTTAGGAGGAAGAATTAAATTGTTGTGCGTGTTTCGAGATGTTGTGAGTTCTACAAAGTTATGTTGTACTTTAGTCACAATTGGACATCCAAATACGATGCATGTGCACTCAATATATATATATATATATAACAATATTGCATATAATCTGTGTTATACCGATAAAACAATGCCTTCGATGCTTTTATAAAGAACACAAATAGTTCAAGATCAAATAAGATGCCACGGCAACACTTTTCATTCATAAAACTATGAAAAACATTTTTTTCCCAAAAATCACGGTTTGCTATGAATGTGCGGTGAATGTGTGTGTCGGAGTTAAGTGTAAGTAGATGCTGCTGCAGCCAGCTGTTTACAATGTTGAAGCCGTTTTGTGTACATATGTGAACTTCTAATTCAGAACTTGCAGAAAATAGTAAGAGAGTATCGTCTGCATAAGAAATTATTCTGCCACTTTCCAGTTTCAGATTACAGAGGTCATTTATGTACAACAAAAATAGAGTAGGGCCGAAAATACTTCCCTGGGGAACCCCATAACAGGTGTTGTCTAGAATGTTTCTTACAGAAGTGAGTGTGTGAGAGAATTGCTTAAGAAGTTGAGCCGGATCATATTTTATTTGATGCTAGTATGAGCGTACCGTATCTTCCCTTTTTGTAAATCTAAGTTATTCTGAGAAACAAAGTTCAAAATTAAGAAATCGTTTCACTGAAAATACCATACCAAGTAGATAGGTATTCTGTTCTATTATCTGAATATCCTTATATATGTCCGAAATTCGAAAGAAGAACATAATTGATAGTGGAAAAGCAAAATCGCTTAAACGCCACTTTAGTAACTTTACAGAAACGACGATTCATAAAATAATATTTTCTAAATAACATCATCTTAAAAAGTTACATAGTAGCCTATACTTACTTAACGAATTAGATGTCGCTTAAGCGAAAATCACTCGGTTCCGCCATACATTTTTTTGTCAAGCCAACATCAAATATAACGCCAAATACTAGGCCGTAAGCGCCATTGGTTCAAAGAACACCAAAATTTATATCGCTTCAGCGTTGTGAACAATAAAATTCCCAAAAAATTTAGTTACTTAAGCGCCAAAAAAGTATTCAAATCTTCACGAAACATAAACAGATCGACGCGGAAAAAAAACTGATTGAAATGATATGATGTCATGCGATGATTCAAAATTTTAATTTGTTCTAATCTATGCAACATTATTTTAGCACTATTGGCCCGCCCTCGCTTCGCTTCGGTGTAGAGCTATTCGAATATTTCTTATTTTTCTCCTTTTAAACCTTCCCTAGACCTCCGCAAACATTTCAAGACCAAGATAAGATAAATCCGTTCAGCCGTTCTCGAGTTTTAGCGAGACTAACGAACAGCATTTGATTCTTATATTTATACTAGCGGACCCACCAGACGTTGTCCTGTCTACACGTCTTTGTGAATCTAAACCATTCTCAGATCCCCCTGAACACACACAAAAAATTTCATCAAAATCGGTCCAGTCGTTTAAGAGAAGTTCAGTGACATACACACTCACAGAAGAATTATATATATAAAGATAGATAACAATAAATTTACGTGTGTATTGGATATTTTGGATTTTGAAGCTCACAAAATAATGAACATAATATCTATATATATAAAACTCAAAGGTGACTGACTGACAAAGTGACCTATCAACCCACAGCCCAAATCACGGGACGGATCGGGCTGAAATTTGTCATGCAGGTAGATGTTATGACGTAGACATCCGCTAAGAAAGGATTTTGATCAATTCTACCCCCAAGGGGATAAAATAGGGAATGAAAGTTTGTATGAAACTTTGTCAATTTTGAACCGATCGGGCTGAGACTTTGCATGCAGGTATAAGAAGAATCATAGATGAATGTCATTGTGTATAATACAAGTCTGAAAACAAAAACTTTAGTCTACATTTCAGCTCTACACCGAAGCGAAGCGAGGGCAGCCGCTAGTTATTGATATGTACCAACAAAAGGTTAAGGCTTCATGTAAGCTAAAAGATTGATTTTTAAAATTAAGCACGTACGCGTATCGAAATTTCAAGCCTGTAGTTGTTACACTTTAAAAAGTGGTTCAATACAAACCGGATGGAGCTGATGTAAGGAAGTGTACGTAGCTACCACAAACGAGTAAGGGCCACGGACTGTGATCTCATTACGGTGAACAGGGTTTGCTCGACTTTTGGAGGCAACTGTATCAAAATTTGGGTTTAATGCGTGCATCGAACGAGTGGGTCTTTGTAAATTCACGACTGAATCTACCTCGCGTGGTAACAAAAAAGGGTTTTGTTAACAAACATCGATGTCCTCTACTTATTTCAAATTCAATATGTTAAAAACCTTCCATTTTTTTATTCTTCCTGTGTTGTATTTCCAATTAGTAGAATTTTATATTTTTCAAATGAAATTTTTCACCCGTTAGCGTTAACTCGCAGAAAATTAACAATTGGTAAGAGTTATAACGAAAATATCCCGTCTGATATCTGGACCGAGCAGATTTTTTTCTGTTTTTTTATTAGATTTTTAAAGTATCAATTTGGAATAGTATGAATTTGGTTAGGTAATACAACGTATAACAAGCAATAAAATCATCATAAGCAGATTAATCATTATTGTCAATTGATATAATTTAGGAAGAACACAAAAATTTTTTTCAAAGCTTTGGTGAATTAAATAAGGACCTTTTCTTAGTCATGATTTATTAAAGTTTAAAATTTTACACATAAAGATTTATACCTAGACGAGTTTAATGAATTACCTTTTATGACGAAAATTACCTATAATTGAAGCATTAATTTTATTAGGGTATCCCATAATTATAACAGTAAAAAATCGATTCATAATTGTTAGTCTCAGCATGATTAAATGCTATAATCACATTGCGAAGCAGATTCGATCAGTTTCTGTATAGTGTCTTTGAATGACCCTCTTTCAATATTCTCAACATCAGCTTCTACTTTCATTTTTACTTTTAATAGTGCATTAACTTTCTCAAAAATATCGAGAGTCATCAACTTAGTGCATCTAAAAACCTGAAAGGTCATAAATTCATACCGTTTATCTTTATTTCTAACGGTAATTTAAAGGATACCAAATTTTATGCAAATAAGCTTTTCGTATAGATTTTAAGAATTTACAAGGAAACATTTGTCAATATAGAAGCTATCTGACCCAGCGAACTTCGTACCGCCATAAAAATGGAGGCTGGTGATAGAAGGGTGAAAATTTAGGGTTGTATGTATTTTTAGTGAGATATTGTAACAAATAAATTGTGTCCAAAAAATAAAAAATAAATATTAGGGGTTAAACTTAGGGGTATAAAAAATAGATAGTAGCCGATTCTCAGACCTACTGAATATGCATATAAAATTTCATAAAATTTGGTATGGTAACTAACATTGTGACACGAGAGTTTTATATATATATAAGACTAGCGGACCCGACAGACGTTGTCCTGTCTACACGTCTTTGTGAATCTAAACCATTCTCAGATCCCCTTGAACACACACAAAAAATTTCATCATAATCGGTCCAGTCGTTTAAGAGAAGTTCAGTGACATACACACTCACAGAAGAATTATATATATAAAGATATTTAGAATTGTGTATTTTTATTGTTTCAGTATGCCCGGTATTTAATAATAAATGGGTTATTTCCGTCTGAATGCACCGACAAGGAGGCGATGGAATTGGTAAGTTTAATCATTTGATAGTAATGGAGAGAGAAAGATTAGACTATATATTATACTGATGACTAAAGATTAAATCAACTCTGTGAAGTACCTATCGAATTTAACATTTTTTGCTTCAAATAAATAAATCAAATAAAAAATATTTTGATGTCTTAATTCAAAGATTTTTTTAAAGAAAATTTTACTAGATAAATTTCCACGCGGACCAGGTAGCAGACGGCACTCAAAACCGCACCCTTCGCTATCCGGGCGAGTGCTCTGACCATTGTCCATTATGCTACCTGGTCTACGTGGAATGTCTTCTAGTATTTTCTTTAGATTTCTAGCAGTTCCATGCTCAAAAAAAATAGTGTTTTGCTTAAAATTATAACTAACTTTTAATCAGTATTTGAAACTTAATATTACTGTTAGTATGTCATACAATATCAATAAATTTTAATTTCATTTAAAATTAAAGGAGGTATTTTATGTTTAATATAAGAAAAAAATTCAAAGTGGATGGATTTTTCGTCTAGATGTCAAACCTATGACTATATTCTCGGGCTCTACTAAACTTCGCAGAAAATGCTTTGCGTTGGACGCACTAACCAATTATCGTATTTTCGTTTGTCACAATGCGGAGAGATGGCGCTGCCTCGCAGCCTAAGAAATACTAGAGGAAATTCGACAAGGTCTCGGTAGATTATTGGTTAGATGCAGCCGCCCAGATAGTGGAAGATGCGGGTTCGAATCCCGTCTGAAACCTGGATCGAGTGATTTTTTTCTAGTAATATTTGCATTAGATTTATACATCCAGCAGTTAAATGTTATAATAAAAATACATAATAATAAACCCCTGTATTCTTAAACAACTTACCGACAAACTTCGCAGTTAATCACTGCAGAATTTTCGCAATCAGACTTACCTCGAGCATGTTCGTGCTATCCCCGCTCGCCATAGCAATCTGTTTACAAGAAATCACACATCACATTTGTTTACAAGAACGGCCGTGACATAGTCTGATGATGATGCTCATTAAAACTTCCCAATAAAGAAGTAACAACAACCTCCTACCAGGAGCTCGATGGCGCAGATGGTTAGCGCGTTTGGCTTGCGATTGTGGAAGTTAAGTAACTTCTGCAATGGCCTGTCATTGGATGTGTGACCGAAAACTTATTATCTGGAGCTCCTGCGTGCTTCAGAAGGCACGTTAAGCTATCGGTCCCGGCTGCATATGCAGTCGTTAGCTCTCACCAATCCACACAGGGTCATTGCCCAACCTCCCTATTCCGTCCGTAGGGAAGGCCTGTGCCCCAGCAGTGGAGACATTAATATGCCGATGATGACGATAACAACCTCCTTTCAGATAATCAAAGACATCTACCCGTACTTCATCGCAAAACACATCGACCTCCTTGACACGGTGTTTTTCGTTCTGCGGAAGAAGGATAATCAGATCACGTTCCTGCACTTGTACCACCATTCCGCTATGGTGGCCTGGACCTGGCTTCATCTTATGCATCATCCAACAGACCAGTTCGTGTTCGTCGGCTTGCTCAATAGCTTTGTACACGTGCTCATGTACGCTTATTATGGAATATCCTCCTTGGGGCCGGAGTACGCGAAGTATGTGTGGTGGAAGAAACATCTAACTAAAGTCCAGCTGGTTAGTACGAAACAAAAGACTACTTCTTTCTTAAACAAGAGTTAAAAATTAAATGCGATATGCACCAAGCACCAACATTTTTAATTCAAATTAGGGCTAGATTCTCCTTAACACACCATTTCATCTTTGATAATTGTTTCATTCTAACAAAGATCAATAAGTAAGACTTATAAATTATACATTTTAAAATTGAATTTAAAAATGTGGTGCAAAAAATCTGGTGTGGTGGTGGACCTAAAAGGGTACGTCGAGCCGAGAATTGGGGAGTACCTCTAGAGGTATTCCAGGCGGATGGCATTCCACGGGGGGTGTCTCCTCTCCGTCTGGGGCCTCTGGACCACTCGAATCTGAGAGGGTCGGCTCAACCAGAGGGCGTCTCTGAGACTCGGCTCTAGTTAGCCGTTGTCGTGGGGGGCGGGAAAAACGCCCAGATATAGCGTGTACCTGATATAGCGTGTCGTGTATAGACTGGGTCTTCGCACTATTAACCTGCGGGTGTGGTGTCTGCCTAGTGCTAAGTTAGTGTGCAAGTATGCTAGCTGTGTAGTGTTGGTGTTCGTGGCCTGTGTGGGAGGAGTCGGAGGCGCGTTGGCGCGGGTGATTTCGTCGTCGGGGTACTCTAAGACGTGCCTAGGCCGACAGAATCGGAGGGAGAAAGCGTAACCTGATTAAACTATGTTCCCTTAAATATTTTGTAATGTTACCCATTTGTCTCCATCAGAAGCACGGAGACACTTATATATTTCTTATGTTGAAAGGGTGGTAACCAAACGTATGCATCTCCTAATGGTTAGCGGCCTCTATAGCCTATAGAAGTTTGCGATACCAAAATTTATCACTCGCACCGTTGCCTAACCTGACCCAATCACCTATCCCCTGGATTTTAAAAAACATTCAGTGACTATAATGCGATTCAAATAAGAATAGGAAAGCCAATAATCTCTATCTGTCAAATAACGCTTGAAAAATACGGTTTGCAAAAAAAAACTTGGAACCCTTTTTTAGCACTCCGCTAATTAAAAAATAAAAACCAAACATTTGTATACAAACAATAACAAATATTGATAATTAATATCGGTTGATATTTAATTTTTCATTTATTGAGCTTTGGCCATGAATGGTTGATAATCTAAATCGTCAACCAAATGTCACTTTAAGTTGCGTTTAGAAACTCGATTTCAAACTTTCGTTTACATAAAGGATGCATGTTCGTATGTGACCTAGTAATAGTGCATGATTATTCATAACTACTCCGGTGGTAATGCAGAGATGAGCGGAATAGAAGAGCTAGATTCTGATTAATGTTTTTTCTCACAGTCTTAATAAAGAAATATTATTAAAAATCGGTGTATTTTTTTCTCAATCTTTAATAAGTTTTATTAAATAAAAACCTTTTTTTGCTCACTCTACCTATTTGGTTTGAATTGAAGGCTATGACATCACAATATGGCGCCCAGTCGGTCCTATTCTTAGTTGAATCGCATTATAAACCTAAAGTTGTCTCATTAAATAGTTTTTTTTTGTTTACAGATGCAGTTCGTCCTAGTAGTGACCAACCTCTACTACCAACATAAGCTGAGCCCGTGCCCTATTCCCCTTTACTTTCACTACTTCTGCCTAACTTGCATCATCTCCTTCTTCTTTCTCTTTATGAAGTTCTACTTCAACAGCTATAAAACTCGAACAACGATAAAAAAACCCAGTGAAGGAAAATTTGATGACACTCGTGATGCATTACTGAAATTTGATTAAATTTTGTTATGCAATAAACAGCTACACTTGTAGTTCATAATGAATTTCTAATTTTATTTAAACCATTAATCTGCACTATTTATAAATCTAGTATGACATCTAATAATGATAGTCTCAGCTGATTTTGGTAGTAGTAAACTATTTTTTATTAATATGTAGGAAGTTTTCGTTCCTCCGTCCAGCGATATCTATATATATAAAACCAAAGGTGACTGACTGACATAGTGATCTATCAACGCACAGCCCAAACTACTGGACGGATCGGGCTGAAATTTGGCATGCAGGTAGATGTTATGACGCAGGCATCCGCTAAGAAAGGATTTTGATCAATTCTTCCCCCAAGGGGATAAAATAGGGAATGAAAGTTTGTATGAAACTTTGTCAATTTTAAACCGATCGGGCTGAGGCTTTGCATGCAGGTATAAGAAGAATCATAGATGAATGTCATTGTGTATAATACAAGCCTGAGAACAAAAACTGTAGTCTACACTTCAGCTCCACACCGAAGCGAAGCGAGGACGGACCGCTAGTTCCGATATAAATTCTTAGAACATTTGTATTGGAACGCATGCGATCCCACACATACAAAATAATGTTCGAAGAACTTATATCGTGATATCGCAAGTCGGAAAAATGCAAGCGTCCCACTTCTTTCGCGTTATTATCGCAGCAATGTGTAACTTAAAAGCCGTCCTAATAAATAAATAAATGTTTTCAACACTCACACCAATTATCCTAGCCCCAAAGTAAGCACTGTCATCATCATCAGCCTATTAATGTCCCCACTGCTGGGGCACAGGCCTTCCCTATGGATGGAATAAGGAGATTGGGCCATGACCCACCACGCGGGCCCAGTGCGGGTTGGTGGGTGCTAACGACTGCAGATGCAGCCGGGACCAACGGCTTAACGTACCTTCCGAAGCACGGAGGAGCTGAAGATAGTAAATTTTCGGTCACCCATCCAATGATCGACTACTGCGAAAATTGCTTAGATTCAACTATCGCAGCGGAACGCGCTAACCACTTGCGCCATCGAGCTCCTCAAGTTGTGAAGTTAGCACTGTAGACTTCTGTTATAGGATACCTACTAGAGTAACGGATAGAATACATATACTGATACATATATAAGTATATATATATAGAAATATATATTAAACATCCATGACTGGAGTACAAACGCTCGTATTCATCACACAAACATCTGCCCCCAACGGGATTCGAACCCCGACCTCTCGAGTAGGCAACACCTGTAAAACTCGGCCACGGAGGTCGTCTAATATATTTACTAAAAACAAATCGCTATAACTCATCCGGTATAATCGACCGATAATAACGCGACTAGGAGTTGGCCTTAATGGACATAAATCCATTCATCTGGAGGCTTTGACGGCGGCTTGCGCTTGCGCAGCCACCACTGCGAAGCCTCAGTTGCAACCTGATCGCCACGGCTCGAACACGTGCGGTCGCTCACTCTTCCGAAACCGACTTTTTGGCGCCGCGAGTGACTGTTCTTTTTTTTAATACTACCAACAAAACCTTTTCAGCTAGCAACTTTTTCTGCGTTAGCCACAGAAATAAGGTTAGTCTTTTTGTTATATAGTGTTGTCTATTTATTTAGTTAGAAAGTGTAAGGGTTTCGATGTGTGAACATTGGTAACCTAGTTTTGCAACAATTTGGCGTTAAGTGCACATTTATCATTTATGTTAACTATTATGTTATTTGAGAACACGACACTGCCCTACAAGTTTGATGTTGCAATGCCACGTTAAAGCATAGAGCTTCAGAGAAATATTAATTGAAATTGTGAAATTGTTGAATTTATTTAACGACCGGCTCCAGATAATATGAGAAAGCCCGAATACGGAGAAGTATTAATATTTCGTTTTGGGTTTGTGTTTACCACATGCTGAAAATCTAGAAAACAACAACAATAAATACAATCGACCAAACCAGTCAGAAATATTTTAAAATGGTGCACGGTGCTACATTGTTTCATTTTCTATATAAGAAAAGTTAGGACAACTTCACTGGGGTACAATTAACAAATGAAAAAAATGGAACTACTGAGATTTCAGTACAAAAATATCTAGTGGATTTTCCAAAAAAATCTTTTTACTAACCTCACAAAAAACGATAAAAATTTGGCATTATTTATGTGAAAATGGTGGCAAAAAGCATATTTTGCCTATCGCGGCCTATATATGTCGCTGTTGATACTGATCAATATCACTCGCGCGATATCTGCCCTTACTTCATACGTAGAGTCCTGAAAGAAAGATGCCTATTACGGCCTATATATGTCGCTGTTGATACTAATCAATATCACTCGCGCGATATCTGCCCTTACTTCATACGTAGAGTCCTGAAAACAAGATGCCTATCGCGGCCTATAAATGTCGCTGTTGATACTACACTCGCGCGATATCTGCCCTTACTTCATACGTAGAGTCCTGAAAACAAGATGCCTATCGCGGCCTATATATGTCGCTGTTGATACTACACTCGCGCGATATCTGCCCTTACTTTATACGTAGATTCCTGAAAACAAGATGCCTATCGCGGCCTATATATGTCGCTGTTGATACTACACTCGCGCGATATCTGCCCTTACTTCACACGTAGAGTCCTGAAAACTTACTTAATGTCAGAAACAAAAACCATCTAAAGTTACTGTCATTTACTCTGCTCTTTTTTAAGAACTTTCTTACACTAGTAAGATCCTTACAGAAGTGCAAAGTAATATGGCACTACCTTTGGATGGTATTTAGTTTCTGTCAGTGTAAGAGTTTCTATCCTAGACAGGCGCTAAAATTGAATAGCAAAACCTTCTATATCCTGACTATCTGATTTTACTATAGGAATAACCAAAATTTTTGTTACCTAACATAACCACATGGAAATTATTGCTATCATGTTATTTAATGACTATAAATAATGAATTATAAATCGAAAGTTACTCCCACTCTCGATAAACTCATCAGCTCTATCAATATGGAGTAAGATCTGGTTTTGAGTTGTTTAATATTACGTATAAATTAACATAATCATGTCGATGATCAAACGAACTTTATGAAACCAATGTTTATGATGAAAATCTAATGTATATATGGTATGGTTGATCCATGCATAGAATTGACTAGCAATTCATACATTTTTATTATACAGGTAGTGAATTATCGAGCTGCGTGTCTATAAACCCTAGACAAAGCTTGACTGTTAAATTTTGACACGCCTTAAAGAGGTTGTGGGAGACGATACGTGCAACTGAAGCAGTATACTTACGATGGAACTAATTCAAATTCAACGCTTTTTTATTCGGTAGGTATGGGAGAACCATTAGATATAAACAGACAAAAAAAAGAAAGCTTTGTATTCAAATTTGATTCCATAACATGTTTTGGGCAGCCACAAACATAAAATTAGCCCCGATACCTAGATTTTTTCGGCAAAGAAGACTTGATTATAATATGCGAGATTTGAAAATTATTAGTTTGGTATACACTTAATGCTAATCTGTCTGAAGCCGCAATATTAAAATATATTGGTGATTCAATGTTGAGATGCAATTGTATTAACTTTTAATATCCATTTATATTCAATGAAACGTTTTATTGTTAAAGTGATATCTTTTCTGATTTTCCCTGTTGAGAAATAGTTTCAGCGTTTCCTAAGAACGTTAGACTACTCAATGAAGTTCTATAAAATTTTCAATATTATAAATATAAATATAAGACTATTTGGAACAAATGAATGAATTATTTTTTCCGAGTAGGAAATAGCAAATTGTCATTAATCACGAATTATTAATGTTCTCAGACAAGAAACAGCATGGTTGTTTGAATATGTAATTTTATTTTATATTTATTAATACAAAGGATTGTATTTACTACTAAGGCAGACGCATTTATGCATTTAAATGATGCAATGTAATTATTACTTGATTTCCGTTTATCGCATGAATTAATGGCTACTTATATAATGGTGTTTGTACAATAAGTTATGTGTTAAACCTACATGGGTACCGAACAAAAAGCTCTGTTAACCTTTCTATATTTGAATATTCTTTACCTTTGCAATGTCACTTGTCTTGTCTGTCTGTCTTTCATCTATTGTGTTATCATATTCTATATTTTATTTGAACTCTTTTTTTAATATCTTCAAAAGTCACTCAAAGGTGTCTGACTGGCTGACATAGTGATCTATCAACGCACTGGACGGATCGGGCTGAAATTTGGCATGCAGGTAGATGTTATGACGTAGGCATCCGCTAAGAAAGGATTTTGATCAATTCTACCCCTAAGGGGATAAAATAGGGAAAGAAAGTTTGTATGAAACTTTGTCAATTTTAAACCGATCGGGCTGAGACTTTGCATGCAGGTATAAGAAGAATCATAGATGAATGCCATTGTGTATAATACAAGCCTGAGAACAAAAACTGTAGTCTACACTTCAGCTCTACACCGAAGCGAGGCGAGGGCGGGCCGCTAGTTACTACACAAGTAATCATTCATTCATTCGAATTAACATAAATGAAAAATGTATTTAAATAAATTAACTTCTATTTATATAAATAACTATGTATATAAAAATAAATCAAAGGCTTTTGCGTACTACTTTTCTAAGTATTCTAGGCACAATTTTTCTTGCAAAATAGATTTAGGTACTTTTTTGAGAATTGTGTCAAATAAAATGTTATATGCTAGTTAAATTTATTAGGTAAGGAGCTCGATAGCACAATGGCCGGTCTTAGAGTCAGAAGAAAAAGGTGACCAAAAATTTTTATTATCTCGCAGTAGATGGAAGTCAGATTAGAAGTCTCTCGTCCTGCTGCATTTGTAGCAGTACATCTGCATTATACCCGCGTTGTGGGTTATGGCCCATCAATGGGAAAGGCCTATGCCCCACAGCAACGGAGACACTAATTGACTAATGATAATTTGGACAGTTTTTTGAAGTCATAAACGTCATTTTTAGTAGAGCGCTATAAAGATATTTTTATTGTTATAAATACGAAAATTCTCGACTGATTGCACTAATTTTTTTAATTAAAAAAAGATTGTTTTTATTTTTTAAGCGTTTACCTGCTACACGTTTAAATCTAAAGAAAAGTTTACTAGAAAAAATGTTTAATTTTTTTTGTGCATTAACCCGTTAAAACTAGTTTTATTTAATGTAACTTGTTGAAAATTCAGTAAAATCTAGTTTTGGTTATATTTTAATGCATTAAACTAACATATAAATGTAAAAGGTATTTAAATAACGTTATCTTTGGAGACACGTGTATTATTTATTATACGGTACGCTGATTATTATAAGCTGGCTTTTCACTCTAATTGTGTTTAATTGATACTGACGACTAGTACCAAGCTGCAATTTTATATTGTCGTGATTGTATTACAGATTTTATATAGGCGATTACCTTCGTGTTTATGACATCATTTCATTGTTTGCTTTAATCATAAAATGATACAAAATGTTTTATAGCGATTAAGAAAATTTAATAACTAAAGCAATTTATGTTTATAAAATACTGATATATCACGATATATTCTGGGACACGTCCCATGTTGGATTGCAAGCTCACTTCATCAACAGCCTATTAATGTCCCCACTGCTGGGGCACAGGCCTTTCCTATGGATGGAATAGGGAAATAGGGCCATGACCCACCACGCGGGTCCAATGCGGATTGGCGGGTGCTAACGACTGCAGACGCAGCCGGGACTTTACGTGCCTTCCGAAGCACGGAGGAACTCGAGATAGAAGATTTTTGCTCACCCATCCAATGACCGACCACTGCGAAAGTTGCTTAAATTCAACGATCGCAGCCGAACGCGCTAACCACTTGCGCCATCGAGCTCCTCAAAGCTCACTTATCACCGCGAAATCTGCGTGTGATTCGATTTTAGAATACGAATTTGTATGATTTGAAAATCCTATTTTATTTTAAATCAGACAACGAATTCCGCCGTGAAAACTGAGTTTGTTCTTACAGAATAGCACTGCTGTTAATTGTCCAGTCAAGATAGTACAAGCAAACTTTGAACAAGCAACTTGACTGACAACCTGTATTGCTATTGTTTTGAGACTTGTTTTGGTATCGCACATGTTTTTATGTAAATGTTGCTACATCATAAAAAGATGAGAAGTTTCTTTCGCCTGTTCTTCATGTCAGCTAAAGGGTGTTGGAAAAAAATAAGGACGAGTCAGGAAAAATAAGGCTCTCAGAGTACAGAACAAACACCGGTACGCATTGCGTGTACTGTGCAATGCGTGCCACCAAAGCAAATACGAATATTTGGTGTGGCAGTTTATAACTGCTGTACCAGTTATTCGCGTCTGGACTCTATCATCACTTAACATCAGGTGGTGGAGTCATTTGCCTACCTAGCTATAAAGAAGAATTGCCAGGAAGCTAAAATTGAGTAGCTCAAGCAAGTACGTAGAAAACTGTAGTTCACAAAGCAGGACGGCTCTAAGACTAATATCACTAAGAATATAAAAACAGTTTAAATATTTAGCTTCTTCTTTAGCGTGCTTCGGAAGGCACGTTAAGCCGTTGGTCCCGGCTGCATCTGCA